TTTCTTTAATGGATTTTAACATACCTTCTCTAGAACTTCGATTAGGTGTAAGGCAAGCAGCAAGGAGTGCCATTTTAGTTGGTGCAGAACTTAATAATGGTTCTTCTAGCTTTTGAGAGTTTTCATGATTCCTGAATCTGGTGTAATAATGAAGGAATCTACTCAGCTCAGTAGCTTGTTGATTACGCATCATTGCCTGGAATTTTTATTTTTAAATTATGAGATTGCTTTTAAACTGTACATTAGCCTATAAGGACACATAGAAGTGCATACCTCACTGATGAGTACACCCTGTCTCTCATCTGCCTTGTTAACAGCTTCAAAGCGATTACAACGGAAATATCCACCTGTTGATGAGCTATGCTTTTTCCAAGATTCGAGACAAACCCAACAGAAGTCAAGCTTACACTGAGAGGGGAGAAAAAATTGATTCAGTGAAAATTATCTTCCAATTAAACACAACAAGAATGTATGAGTGAATACTATCTTAACCTTTGAACATTTCATATGATTGCAGCCTTCATTTTTTTGAATTGGAGATTTACAATTTGGACAAGGTTTGGAATTTGTTACAAGCCAAAGGCAATTTGCAGCATCCTCAATGTCCACTCCTTCAGAGGGAAGCTCTTCTGGTTTCACTTCAGCAATCTTTCTTTGCCACAGCTGCCACTGTTCACAGCCACTAGGAGCGTGCACCTCACCTAAACACTCCCTGGAGATCAAATCAGAGTTCACATAAGCTCAAAGCACAAATAACATTCAAATATTTATTTAATTGACTACTGACCAACAAAAAAAGTGACCATTGCCACAGTCAACAGCATGAGACGTTGGAGCTGCGGATGGTGGAGGTGTTTGTTCTGTTTCTGGAAGGCGAACAGCTTGTCCACATCCTGGTCTTGGACACCACTTGATACATCGACTACTCTCTACAAAAGCCTTAGGTGAAAGAGACAGTAATATTCAACTGATTATCTTTTTAAATATTCATATGGTAAATTAAAATATAAAACTGGTGGTACATACTTTGATATCAAATTGTAAATATCTCCTTGCAACTTCAGGTGTAACTGACTTTTCAATCAATTCAAGAGGGACAAGAATTTCACAGGCATACTCAGGGCAGCTGATATGATGAGCATCTCCTTCTTGTATTTTGAGGGTTAAATAATTTTCCCAGCAAGTTGAACAAAATGTGTGTCCGCAGCTCATGGTACCTTGAGCTAGCATTGCCCAAGAACTAACAGATTGCATACAAATAGAGCACTGAAAACCAATAATTATAACTTGTAAGTGTTCCCAAGAAAATATTGTTAGATACCAACAAAAAAGAAGACGACGAAAATACCTCTACTTCGTCATTTTCACGAGTTGTCCTCTCATCTGAGGCATTGAAGTTCCTATGTGCTGGAGATTTTTTTAGTATGTCTTTTGATCCAGTACGCCCCTCTGAATCTTGTTCGTCACAACTGTTTGACTCCTCTATCACACTGGGAGATCGCAAAGGACGAGTCAAAGTGAAAGATCCTGAATCCAGTTCTGATGAGGAGGGTGGCGGCTGAACACCAGCTGATTGACAGCACTCAACAGGATCCTTCATCCATTTATCAAGAAGTGTTTCGCGGGACCACTCTGAAACGTATTAATTTTTTGAGACAACATCTTTTGGAGGAAAAGTAGTTGAGTGTAACATACAGATCATTAATATCTTACCATTGTCTCGAAGCAAGGCTTCTGCAGTAAAGAGGGGGATGTGGAGCATATCGCTGGTCTCAACCAACAGCTGGTCTTTCGCCTCTTGAAGGTCTTGTGTCCTGAGACCACTATAAACTTCATCCGGCTCTCCTCCCCCATTAAGTTCAGCTTCATTTACAGTATCATTACTGTCGCTGTCAGCCTGGAGATAATAATTGATTGATTTTACTCCACCTCACATTTAATCCATTTTACAATTTACCATTCCAAAAACTTACAAAAACCATTCTTGATTCCAGAAGAGCTGCAATATCATGATGCTGTGCATGTACAGCAATATCACAGGGTGTGAGATGATCATTATTCTCAATAAAGAGAGGACTACCGTGAGACAAAAGAAGTTCAACACAGCGTTTCAGGCCTGAACCTGCAGCACAATGCAATGCAGTGTCCCCTTTCTAACAGAAGAAAAAAAAAATTAGGAAGATGCACCATAGAACACTATGTAGCACAATATAAACATAACAATAAGGATGAAGATAAAGTTTCATTCAAAATTAAAAAGTACCTGGTCTTGGGCTTGTAGATCAATACGTTCCCTGCTTCCATTGTTAAGATCAGCACCCCTCCATTGTAAAATCAGAGATATACAAGCAGCACGTCGTTCTTGTGCAGAGAACAATTTATTTGGCTCTAAGTTGCAGGCAGCATGTGCAGCTGTCTCATTAAATGCATTTCGTTTGTTTGGATTTCCGCCTAAATCATGTAAAAATGTTCTGACCGGAGGAAAAAAATACACATTAATTTTACCTGTTCTGACATCAAGAACAAATTATAGCTGGTAGGTTTGAAATCTCACCTAAGAAGATGCTTCATCCCATGTTTAGATGCATAATGTAAAGGAGTGTTGTGATTATGATGTTCACCATAACTGGTGTTGGGGTCCAAATGTCTTTTTAAGTCTCCTGAACTTTGGTAAACCTAATGATGGAGTAAAAATTATTCATCAATATTCTAAAACTAACAAAGTCAGGGAGAAAACAAAAAACAAAAGTGTATTAAACAAACCTGCATTGCAGCAAATTCATCCCCATGCTGAAGGTATTTTTTGAACTTTGAGGAGGCGGTACCCATTTTACAATAATCTTGTTAGTGTTGTTGAAAGTTGAAAGATAGTATCTAGTCAAGAAGCCACTAAAACTACAGAAACTGTCATTGTTTCCAAGCTGTCAAGATATAGATGGCATTCCAACAAAACGGTACATCCAAGTTTTGCACCAAATTTGAAGCAGAGACAGCTCTACTTTATTGACAACATGTAGACAAGCATACAGGGCTGTTTTCATTCTGGTGAAAACTGCAACAAAATTTAACAAATAAGGATGTTAATACAATTAGGCAAAGACAGATAAGGAAACAAGGGAGGAGAAAGCACAAAATTACTTTTGTGGTAAAATGGACACTCGTTCTTTACGATATTCTTAAAATTATTGTATCTTCATCTCAGAATATAAAATATTGTCAAACATAACACTTATTACCCTTTGAAACTGCATTTTTGAAGTAATGAAAAGAGAGACAACTACAACAACACTCATTGAAGGGAGGAGGGGAGGGGACCGAGAGGGCAGCCCCAACAAGCTGAGCACGCTGCAGTCCTTCGGGGCGGATCGGCGTCGGAAGTGTGAGAGGTGGGGGGGGGGGCGAGAGAGTTGTAGCCGCGCCCTGCACCACGGCCCCGCGCGCGTCGCCCCATGCCCCCCCACGGCTTCCACCGACGGACCGACGGTCGGGCTCCTTGATCGTGGCGATGGAGAAGGTGAGGGCACGCGAGGT